CCCGGGGAGCGGGGGGGCCCGCTGCTGCGGGAGGCGTGGAGCCGTGTCCCTGGCGGGCCCGTTCCGAGGGCAGGCAGGGTGTCGGCTCCCGGGCGGCCCTGCCCGCTCTGCGTCAGCCGCCCTGAGCTCTTGGGGCTGCTTGAAGCGTGTTTAGAGGTCTTGCTGACGTGCGGACAGGCTTACCTCCCCCGGGGAGAAAGTCAGGTGGCACGCAAGGGCACGAGCCCTAGGCTTTGCCGGGGTAGTCCCACGGACCGGAGGCTTAAATAATACATCATCGGCAATAAAAAGGGGACGTTTTCAGTGCCTAGCTATATCCCTGCCACTTCCCATCCGTTTCCAATCTGTAAGGGATTAGTCAAGCTCTGAAGTATTGCTGTCTCCCAGGGTGAACTCATAACTAGATGACCATGTAAGACGTGGCGATTTATCACTGAGGCACTTTTTAACAGCTTCTGCGTGACTAACGCATCCCATAAATACCAGTCCGAGTCAGAGGAGAAGCGGCCCGGAATTGCCACTCTCCGGCAGGCGTTAAGTGTTGCTGATAGGACTTGGCAGGGCGCCTTTGGGGAATAGAAGTGTCACTGTTTTTCACCAGCGGCTCAGTTCTAGGCCTAGATGTGAAACTGAGACTTCGCTGATGTCCAGCAGTAGAGTAGTGGGGCAGGGTTATCTCGAGCCTCTCGGCAGCGTTTGGGAAGTCTTCCTTGGGCGAGCCTGGGGCTAAGGGGTGCAGAGTGCCCCTGCGAGCTGGGTTACAGCTTCCCCTGGGAAACTTTGCCAAGCACAGACGGGATCTGAGTTAGAACCGTAATCAAACGTTGATTCAAACACCCTCAAACTCCAGGAAGTGCAGGAGGCAAAACTAGGTGTCAGCTTGAATTTTACAACGAATCCATTTTGACCAGATCCGCAGCAGGATGCAGATACCTAATTCCCATTTATAGGCCTATACAGAAATCAGGTATCTAAATCATTATAATGGGCTGTACCAAACCCACAGATACCAACTGTACTTCGTGAAGGACAAACTCCAGATCTCATTCTTGAACTTTAGTTCTTTCTTCTTTTCCAAGTTTTAATGCTACAAACAAAAATGAAGCACCATACTCTCTTTATTGCAGCAGATATTCCAGGCATAAAAATCCCATGTGTTTTATAGAAAAAGTATAAAGACTTTTGAGTTGTTAACTATAACGCTATAGGCAAAGCAGCTCCCTAGTTTTAACAGTTTCCATCAGCCGAAGGTTTAATTACCAGCCGTTCAGCCAGCTTTCTCCAGGAGCAATTATGACGCAGTGAAGTCATTTCATGGGGCATTTGCAAACAGCAGATTTAGAAAATGGAGGCTATCGGTGCTCTCTGGCCATGCCTCTGAAGGCTTATGCACATAATAAGCTATTGCACTTTTGCCACCTTGGAAAAAAGTATCCTCCCAGCAGCCGTACCTACAACAAGGCTTTGGATAAGGACAGGAGGAATAGAAAATAGAAGCCTTCTTTTCCGTCCCTTCTTCAGAAGAGCGATGGTGGATAAGATAACACTGTCCAAGATGAAGAAGCAACAACTCAAACCATTCTTTTAAGTCTGGGGCTAGATTTGACTCCCACATCTTTGCGTGATTCAAGAACTGCTATCTCATGAGGTATCTGGAGACCTCCATGACTGGTGCATCCATTTTTCCATTTTCTGTTGGTTTTTTTTTTTTTGGCCTGCGTCAGCTGACCTTAGAAGCAGCAAGTGACATCAGATCACAAAAACATCATTTCTTGTGCAGTTCTCAAATCAGTGTGGGATTGCCATCATAGGCTGGCAAATTCAGACTCTGTGGGTCAGACCTCAGATGAGATTTCAAGCCAGGACAGATGCAATTTGTATCAGGGCATAACTTCAATCAGTTTATCAGTCCTGAACGCTTTTCTTTTTTCTAAGAGCCAAATAAGCTCTTCCTGCAAGGGGCTCCCTGACTTAAACATATATATTTAACCCCACTCTCCTCACCACTTTGCACACTGCAGTAGTAACACACAAAGCGACATGTTCACGGTAAATGACCAAACCGTAACGTGAGACAGGGAAAGACTTATACGTGGAAGGACAGTCTCCTTTCTGCCTGTTTCAGGCCCTGTTGTGAGTTCCCAAGGACTATGACATATAATTTAAGAGATCTGGGGAAACACCATTCTGAAAGAAACAAAGCCAAAAAAATCCTAAATCCATTTATTTCTTTCTACTGAAAAATATATCAAACTGTATCCATGTTAAGTATTATCCCACCTTTTACCAGAGCGTAATGCAGGCTGGCTTAGGAAGAATTACCATGTCCAGCCAAGCCATGTCACTGTGTGAACAAGGAGCAAGTCCTACCTTTTAAAAATGACTTTGCCTGTGGATTTAATTTGTCCATTACAGGATGCTTTTGACATTCATATCGTGAATTTTTTTTTTGCTGATTCCTTGCTTAACAGTCCAGGAAGCTTCCAAACCTGAGATGAGTCATTCAATTCCTTAGTGTGGCGCTGAAAGCAAGAGGGCACTTCAGGCCTTGAGGCTGCAAACACACAGGTATTGAACTTTAACTCTTCTACAGCCCGTTAAGGCAGTCAGACTTTTTCCATTGTTCAGCGGGCTGTGGATTAGACTCTGCCTAGGGGCTAATTTCCATACAGGTCTCTGCGTTCGGTGTTTCTTTACTGGCTAAATACCCCTGCAGGCTGAGAGCTATCCATTAGGAAACACCAGACACAGAAACGAAGGTGGAAATGAGCCTAGCTGAGCCTGGGCCCCCAGCCCTGATCCAAAACAGCGCGCAAATATGTGTTTAACCTCAGCCATGTGCTAACGCCCTGTTCTTTAATTGCGGCCTTCCTGGGCAGATCCAAGGAAGTGCCAAGATGCCTGGCTCAGCACCGGTGTGCTCATAATCAGGTACTTGGGGCTGTAACTGCATTGGGAAGCCAGAGCTCAGCCTGTGGCAGGATGAAGCCCTGAGCGCAACAAGATAATGTAACTACATTACAGCCCCTTGGCTCTGGAGTAGGTTAATAGTGCGTGCTGTGTATTTTACTCTGCCTCTTGGCTGCTTTATTCTGGATATAAAACCATAGCCAGTGATTCAAACCTCTGTAACAGCACGAGAACACAGCCCTAACAGTGTCTCACAGTTGCCGACCATATTGCAATGGGCTGGCTTGAGTATTTGTGCAAAAACACCTTCCGATACCACAATGTGACCCTTATTTACTGACATCAGTAAGACTCCAGATCTGGCTACATCTCCCATTGCTCACCATAGGAAGAGTCGCTATGAGGGAAGATTCCTTCTCACCTGAAAGTAGGTGATTCCTTCCAGTTTTCACTCAGGCTTCTGTCACTGTCAAATAAATACTTATTAAAATCTGCATGGCAAATAAGCTCACTGTTGCTCCGCCCTTGAAACACTGTTGTGTATTCAGGCAAATCTGATGGGAATAGTGTCATCAGGGTAAACTGAATTCTTCTCATTTTGGAGTAAGACGAGAAAGCTGAATTACAAAATACAGCATTATTCTACCTCCCCAGTTTCTGTTCTCCTAAGTTCCCAGAGGGATCAAGTCAGCGATGGCACTTCTGGGCCCAAAGCAGTCTTTTGGTTTCTAAGAATTTCTCAGAGGGAAACAAAAATCCACTTATCTAAAGAGCTACCAGGTGAAAAAAGCTACACTGAAAAACTGCTGCTTAAACCATGTAAACCGACAGTTTTCAGCATCTTTTGAGTTCTCTTTATACATTTTCTAGCAAAGAGACAAATGCCTCTACGTAGCAAGTTTAAGGCTGAGACTTTCCTTCTCTGAGTTACCTTAGGGGTAATGTTCTGATCCCGGGCTGAGGCTACGGTTTGAAACTACAGCTGTTTTACTGTAAAGGGCCAAGTTTTGCTTCATGAATGCCAGCGAAGAGGGGGTACATCCTGGCAAGGCTGCCGGCAGAGCTCTCTCCCCTCCTTCCGGGACGCCTCGGGGCTGTCTGCGGAGGCAGGGTTGCTCTGCAGGGAGATGGGTCTGAACCAAGGGAAAAAAATCTCAGTACCGCCTGGGGCATGCGATATGGAAACACAGTGCCGGGCTGTAGAAGTCAGGATGAGTTTTGCCACGGATTTGCAGCCACGTGGGCTGCAAATTCCCCGGGCTTGCTGCGATTCTTTCCCAAGGGCACCGCAGGCTGTCAGCAGCCAAAGCCGGGGAGCCAGATGGGAGCTTCGGGAGAAACGGTCCTGGGTGCCTGGGGCTCTGCGCCGTACCGGCGCTGAACATGCTCCTCCGCGGGGCCGGACCACGCCGGCGAGGAGCAGAGCTGTGTGGGGAACGCTGCTTGTTTTCACAGGATGCTCCTCATTACATTGGTTTGTTTGCTTTGAAACAAACTTTGTTTTGAGTCCCAAAACATCTCAGATTTTAAAGTCCCCAGATTTCCTAGTTTAACTTTGGGGCTTTTTTTTTCCTTAAGAAAAATTTAGCTTTTGAAGAATAAGATCTGAACTGAAAAAAAGCTCAGCATGCAATATGAACGTTTTCATTTTTAAAAAATGAAAAACTCTACTGCCATTTTTGGGGGTCTTTCTTTCTTTCCTCACTGAAGGTATTTAAGATAAATTTGCCATACAAAAATATTCCCTGGTGATTCCTCGTCTTAAGATGTTTGTATGAAAGAAGTTGTCCATCTCTATCTATCTAAACAGGATTAAAAGCTGGTAAGATAAAAGCATCTTCAGAAAAAAAGAAGCTGATAAAATAAAATTCATCCTCACCACAAATATTCTGAAGATGATAAATTCACCACTTTGGATGGCAAAACTAGAGCTGAGCGGATACTGCAATATATTTTTATGTAGCTAAAGAAATATTTTTGCAGCTAATTCACTTTAAAAAGATACTTTATAAATATTTTTAAACTTTCTTGAAAAGAACACTTTCTAAAAAACAAGTATCTCATGACAGTTGTTTAATACTTTTAATTGTATTGCTCAGCCAACGTAAAAGGTGTAATTCAAACATTTATATAGAAAAACCAGAAAGTAATTGCTTTAATTATAACCGTTTGGGTTAAAAATTACAATCAAACTGTCAAAACAGTTGATAAAGCTAGAGATTTGAAGAGAAATACTAAATGTTTGTTATTTTTGGCATGGAGTGGATTATTAGGACCACTGCTCTAAACAAATTGAATTTCGCCAAACAAACTTGTTGTTAAACGCTCAAGTGAACGAACTGGGGTTGTTTAGTCTGGATGGGATAGAATTGCGGGGGAGAAGACATGATAATAGTCTTTAAATATATAAAATGCAGCTGTAAAGAGACAGGGATAATCTGTTTTCAGTGTCCATGGTGCATAGGTAAAGCAAGCGAGACCCGGGCTAGACACTAGGAAGGGCTTCCTCGCAGTCAGGGCAGCAACAGTGAATGAATTTGCCTAGGAAGAGAGTGGAGTTTCCATCACCAGATGTTTTTAAGAGCAAACATCTGTCAGGCAAGATAGAGGTAAGGTCAATGCAGCCCTGGGACGACAGGACACGGTTTTCCACGGTTTTGGATGTGTGGATCCCACAGAAGTCCTAGGGAGATGGAGACCCCAGGGACCCCCCACTATTTATGACCTTGCTCTGCTGCATCGTTTTCGTTAGCCCATTTGAGGTAGCCCACATCCCTGTCTGGGGGTGCTGGCTGCCAGCTGAACGCTGGCCAGGGCCATCTTCCTACACCTCTCCCAGCCCTGCTGCCCGTGGCTGTGACACCTCCCTTGCCTCCTTCCCGCATCTGTCACGTGGGCCACTGTCATGGCCCTGTTACCCCCTCTCATGGACATGCAGCGCTGCACCACCAGCTGTGCTCTTCTTGGTGTCGGCCAGCTGCGTAGCTCCTGCCACCTCCACAAAAGTCATCGCAGGAAATCGTTGTCTTTCAGTGGCATGACAGCAGGACAAGTGGTTGCCAAACACTGAGAGCCAGCAGTGCTTACGCAGCTCTGCGCCACAGCAGTTCAGCAAGTTGAGATTAGACAACTCCTGTCTGCGAGTGAAATACTGGTGGTCCTCAGTGAGTGACCTGGGACCCTGCTCCCATCCTGTCACATCCCCATAAGGTAGCCCGCACTCCCCTCTCCAGCCAGCTGCTTCTCCCATCTCTACCACCAGCAGCAGTGGGTGACTTGGCTCCCCCGGGAAATCCTGGCCAGCTGCTGGTGTGACAAAGACCTAGTGCTGAATCATTTTACACTGTTTTGGCTCATTTTGGCCCCAAGCGGCTCACTCTAACAGCTCTGCTGGCAGGTCTGGGTGGGCTCTTCACATCTCAGCAAACAAGGGACGGAGGATGCCAGCTCAGCTGACGTGTCCAAAGCCAAAGGAGAATGAGTGACAACCCCTATGTGTTTGTGAAATGCGAGGGTCCCCTCACCTTTCCTGAGTCCTTGTGACATGGGACATTTCTCCACGGAGCCTTGTCCAGGGAGGGCATGACCGAGTCTCCATCTCATTCAGGGTCTCTGGAGGTGTCTGTAATACAAATATTACAGAAGAATAAGCAAGTCTCCTGTAACAGAGGAATCCATTTGGAGACCAGCAGGTTGCAAACTCTTCGAGGCATGCACTAGCGTACTTCGCCTCGTCCTGTAAACGTTTAAGCTACAGACAGATGCTGCAAACAGATGTGCAGAGTTAGGCCTTGGCAACCCCTCTGCTGTTTGGTACTGCCCTGCTGCCGTGTGGAGAGCCCCAGGGGAGCCCCTGGCAGCCAGGTTATCCTCAGTAGCCTGAACAGTGCTCCGAGGTAGCGTGGCTGAGTTCGTGTGCAGCACCCCAGCATCAGCTGCGGGGAGGACATCTGCCTCGAACAAACGCTGCCGGCGGGGTGCTACGTTAGGAGCGTCTGCACCCAGTCAGCGCCTGAGCACGCCCCGAGCCTCGCGGGATGTACTTCCACCTCCGCTCGGAGGCCTTGGCCACTAGCCATGGCACAGATAATATGTGCTACGGTTTGGAAGTCTTTAAGGTAAAATGTTGCTTCTTTCCTGCAATAAAATTCACAAAATGTTGATGCTTTCTCTCTGCAGCAAGCACGAAGAAGATGTAAAAACCCAATGTGTTTATGAGTGTCCTTTAGGGAAGAACTTTTATTTGTCGACACTGGATTTGGAAGAGGTTTTCCAAGGACTGCAGAGCTGCAGAGTGCTTGGCTCTTACTGTGACTTTAGAAGTAACTTCTTGTGACTTTGGAAAATCACCCTGGTAAATGGGTAGCTCCCTTTCAAAATGTTTTTTTTAAAGCTGTTGTTCAGTAGTTTCTCTGGGAGTGTTTCATTTAGTTTTTAAATATTGTCATGACTGCCTACCTCGCTGGCACACACAAGGCTAACCAGGGCCACACAATCTAACAAAGATTCCCAAATGTGAGTGTCTACATTTAAGGCTCAAAATAAGCAACCTGATGGCTAGCTGCTGCTGGCTTCCATGATGAGGTATCCAGGACAGTTAGGAGAGCTATCTGTACCACACCAAGCCCTTGCTGTGAACATTGATATCACACAGACCTCATCGGTCAGCAATAAATTAATGGTTAAATAAAGAAAGTTCTGGCTAAAATAGGGGCAACCAGAAGTAGACCCTTTACTACTCCAGCAGCAAGGTGAAAAGAAGGTTGAGGGCGTTGTTCCGATGGTCAAAGTAAAAGCGTTGGTGGAAAATCCTGGTTTTGGATGTGAGCTGAAGAGGAAGGACTTGTAATACAATGAGAAAAATGCATTTCATTTTGGTGCTTGACCAGTGACAAAATGTTTTGGTTTGCTTTGAGGCT